ACCCGGGGACTGCCTGTATACTGCAGATTGGCGGAGGCAGGGGGGGCAGTGGCACCACCCAAGAGAGTGGTCAGCAGGCCTGGGGCTCACCATTTTGCCTACCGTCAGATTAGGTAAGTAGCCCACCATGCCAGCCCTTCCTCCCAGTGCTGGGGCCAAGGGCTGGGGGAAAGAAAAGGCCCCTGCTAGCCAGGGAAGCTGAGGGGGGTAGAAGGCCCCTTCCAACCAGGGAAGCTGGAGGGAGAGATAAGGCCCTTGCAGCTGGGAGGATGGATAAAGGAAAGAAAGTCCCAGCCAGCAGGGGCACGTGGGGGAGGGGGGGGGAGAGAGGCGAGTGGAGAAGAAGGCCCCTGTTGGCTAAGGAACAGTGGGACAGGAGAAAAGGCCCTGCCAAATGGAACTCTCTCCCCCACCCTGAGCCCTTCCTCATTCCCCCAACTCACACCCCCCATACATCCCCTGCTCCTACCTTGAACCCCTCTTCAACCTCCCACCTGACTCCTGTACCCCTCCACTCTCCTAGCCCTCTGGCCTGCCCTGCCCTGACTCTTGCACTCCCCACACCGTTGGCTCCTTGCTCTGAAGGACCTGGGCAATGCCAGGTAAGTCTTCTAGCATGAGGATAATTCCCATGTGGGACAAGAATAAGTTAAGTGGCATAAGAGACTTCTATCTAGGGGTCTAGAACAATTTTTGTAGTGGGGGTCCTGTTGAAGCAAACTGGAAACCCTGTATATAATGGAAACCACTTCCAACATGGGGGTGCTGCAGCCAACAGTGACTGGTGACAGGGGAAAGTGGGGGATCCTTGCTCCACCCCTCTCCACCTCTTCCCAGCATCCCCTGGAGTGGCACAGCTGGGGAATGGTGCTGTGCGGGCTAGAGCCATCCAGTCTGTTCCTTCCCTACCACAAGTGGATGGAGAGGGGGGCACACCGCCTGCTGCTGTACCCCTCCACATGTACCCCTCCACACACACACACACACACACACACACACACACACAACCAATAGCTGAAGCACCCCCCGCACCTCTCATTCCAGCTCCTATGCTTTTATGGCATATAAATTACATTCACACGAGGGCGGAGTCCTGCCAGCACACCTGGTTTAATAAAATAATTACAGACCTAACTGGTACATAGGACTGGAAAGGATCTCCTAAATCCAGTCTTCTGCTGTTGCAGACAACCAGTGGGAGTTGTGGGGGTAAACAACATGACTGGCTTTAAGATTGAGTTTGGTCAATTTATGAATGGTCCACTCATAAGTTGACCAAACTCCATCTTATTAACAGTCAAGTTGTTTACCCCCACAACTCCCACGGAAAGGTTGTTGCAGAACCTCACTCCTGTGGTGGTTAGAAGACCGATCAGAATTTTCAGCCTAAATTAATTCACAGCCGGCTTATACCAGTTCAAAATTTGGGGGTAGACCAGGCCTGAATATGCATTTAGGTACCTCACTTTAGACACTGAAGTGTGAAAATTTTGGCTAAGTGACTGGGCCAACTTCACAGAAGTCCTAGGTGTCAGGCCAGAATAAGGCACAGAATTCAGAACTCCTGACTCCTTTAAATTCAGATCAACTTCTTTCTTTTAATATAAGCAAAATATTTTTGAACTTTCACACCGATGACTAAGGTTGATTGTTCCACAATATTATAGCGGAGGAAGATGCAAAACTGTAATAATGTAACAGACCCTTCCAGTTATATCCTTTGAGCACTTGCAACACACTTTTGCACACAGGTGCTGACTTTCCAATATGTGTGGGGTATGGGGGTTCAACCCCTGACTCTTCCTTGGGCCCTGCCCCTAACTCCACCCCTTTCCCCCAAGTCCCACCCCACTCCACCTCTTCTCCCCCTCCATTCCACATCCTCCCAAAAACACACCAGACCTCTGCTCTTCTGCCCTCTCCCTAAAGCAGGGATGGGTAATAATTTTCACAGCGAGGACACAATGAATTTTGGCATACGGTCATGGGCTGGCTCCACCCCAGAAAAGTCAGGGCATGGGACAGAAGGGGCAGGGCTGGGGACTAGCCTTCCCCCAGAGTTGTCTGGGGCTGGATGCTTTGAATTAAAAACACAGCAAAAGGTTTGTAGCTCCCAGCCCCATTGCTACCATATTGCCTGGCAGCTGCCTGCGGTTGCTATCACTATTTAAAGAGCCCGTGGTTCCAACCCCTTCCTGAGCCATTTAAATAAGGTCCTGCTGCCTGAACCACCACCTGGAAATTCGGTGGCACAGGCAACAGGATATAAAGGAAGCATCCAGATGCAGTCTGTGGGCTGGATCAAAGTGTTAGGTGGGCCACATCTTAGCCAGCCCTGCTCTAAAGCCTCCTGCACACTGCTAAACAGCTGATCGTGGTGGGCAGGAGACATTGTGGGGGGTGGAACTAATAGAGCGGCTACCTTTTCCTCATAGATACTCCAACTGTGGAGCACTCACAAAATCAGCAGCTATTCCTTTGAGACCTCATTCCACTGGTGAATATATTATGGCTGAACACCACAGACCCATATGATATCAATGATAGTATCTCATACAAT